GCAGGCCCCGGGGCTGAGCCTCCCTGCCCCGATGAGAAAGCCCGTCCCTGCGATCCTGCTGCATACTTGCTCCGTGAGGTTACACAACGGCTGTGGGGAGCTGCGTGTTACGACAAGGTGGGTGAGTCACAAAAGGTAAGAGAGTCTTATATAACCCATGCATAAATTTTTGGAGTCGGTTTCAGCTGAAAGGGCTGTCAGCATACCGGCGTCCTGACAAAAGCATCAGCCTGGGAGGAGCAGGGCAGCAGAAAGCAAATGCTGCTTCTCTTCCCCCACCCCAGCTTAAATGCGATCCCTCTGCCAGGACCGTACCAGACCCAGAAGGCCCTGTGCGACCGTGAGGGCTCGCTCCCACGCACCTGAGGAAACCCTTCCCAAGACAGAGACTGCAGTGCAGTGTTTTGGGTGCAAAACCTTCATAAGCAGACAGAATTTACCTCCCACCCCCGCACCCTTGACTCCTGACCGGGGCTCTGCCCTTCTCCTCCACCAGCTGAGCTGTCCTGGGCAAGCCCACTTTTCCCCTTGCTCTTGTTCCCATGCTGCTACTCTGAACCTTGCCTATGATTTCTGCCACCTTGTCGGCACAAGCGAATGGGGATGTCAAGCTACGCCACAGGGACTGCATGGCTGACGTAAGGCTGACAACACACATCTGAAAGACGGTATATTGGAGCCACATAAAAATCACAGCCGTACCTGTCTGGGAAAAAGTGCTTTGCTTGGCTAGTGCTCGACACTGAAAACCGGTGAAAAAGAAGGTGGCATGACCCCAGCTGCCAGACTGGGAGCTTGGCACACTCGAATGGGATCTAAAGTGCTTAGTTTTAAAGAGCGTAGGTGAGCATCAGAACGGCTTCCAGTCAATGGGGTGAATTGCCGATTGCTTTAACAAAACCAAACTCATCTCTAAAATGCGTGGTCTAATTCCTACATCAGGCTCCCAGTGTCATGGTGGAATCGATGGGCAAGCTTTCACCAGCAGACCCTAATTTCTGAAAGCCAAAATGTTTAGTGGTTCGGGTTCAGCTAAACTGTCATCAGGCCGCTCTCCTGGCTCCAGGATGGACTTTCTGCCTAAATTTCTCTGGGGCCAGAGAAATGCAACTGGTTGTGACATTCCCCTGGGCTGCAGGAGACCTGAGCCAAGCTCCTGCTGTGTCCAGCCCAGAGCAGGGACTCGAACCCGCGCTTGCCAGCTCCCACGAGCGACCTCATGGGGAACCTGCTGGCTAATGAGATGCAAGATGTTTTGCTTGCTGTTGCTGGAACGGTTATAGGTTTCCACGAGTAGGCATGTTATCATCTGCCTGGTGATTATGCCTCTCCAAGGAGCAGGCAGCTGGGGTCCAAGTCCTGCTCCAGCCCACGCCTCCAGTTCCAGCTCCGACGGCTTCTTCTGCAAGGCCGGTTTGGGGGCTGTGGGCCGAGGGGGTGGCAGCTTCTTCATCTCCCTGCCGGGAGGTGGCAAACGTCAACAGGGGACAGGCTGGAAAAGCCTCCACCTCTGCTTGCGATGGTCAGTGGTGTCCATCTACCCACTCGGGGACAGTGGTGGCCACAAAACCATGGCCATGGTTCCCTCAAGCTGACCACAGACCAACTCGCATCCAAAGGTGGCTCCCACCTCCCTCAGCGCAAGCAGGGGCTCAGACCCCAACCCAAGCCCAGTCCAGCTTCATGCTCCACGTGGCCCCAGGTCCCCTCAGGCCCACACGCTCCTGTCTCCCTCTGCACCGGACACGGCACCACCTACTTCTCCAAGATCTGCTGCCTGTTGGCTTCAGCAGCTTGGCAGGCTGCCCGGGCCTTCTCGAGCAGTTTGGCAGCTTTCCCCTCCAGGTCCGTGTAGAAGTCTTTCCCCTCCTGGGATTTCTTCATCAGGTCCTCGTAGGCTTCGTATGAGGCCACCAAGGTCTGAACAGTGGTGTTCCACCTGGGGAGAGGGGACACAAGGTGGACTGGGGGCAGAGGGCTGGCACGGAGTAATGCCGTGCCATGCATGTGTCCGCAGAGAGGGCTGCGCATCGCTGCCACTGCTTGGTCACAGCTCCTGGGACCCAGGGAACGCCAGCAGCCACCAGGGAGGGACGGGTGCAAACACCTAATCTGGCCCCCCAACACCGGACCACAACAAGGGACAGACTAGAAAAGCCAGCAGTGACCCCACACTCAAGCTGGGCAGCCTCACCTTAGGGTGGGTGAGGGCTGTTCCCACACACCAAGACCCCATCTGGGAATAGTCTTCCCAGGAGAGCGCCCCCTGCCCCAGTCCCCCGCTCACTCACTTGTGCTCCCCCGCTCACTCACTTGTGCTCCACCTCGGCCAGGGCCTTGCGCACGGCCGCATATTTGACGTTGGCATCCGTCAGGGCCTTCAGGACATTTTCCTGGGCAGCCAGGTTCTGCTCCAGGTACACCTTGATCTGGTCATATTTCTTCAGCTGCTCCTCAAAGAGTTTCTGCCAAGGGAAAAGGAAGATCTCAGGGGCCACAAGTGGTTGATGCCACCACGGGGCCAGGGTGAGGGCTGGGATGGGGCAGAGCTTTTGCCACGGCCCCAATTGGGATGTGCTGCACGTGCAGGGCCCAGGAGAAGCTTTCCCAAACACCACAGGTAGCATCTAGCTCCAGGCTGGATCCTCAACTCTGGCCAGCCCCGCTGCTGCTCAAGACTCACCTTCATCTCAGAGCGGTCGGTGGTGACCAGTGAGGTGGTGATATCGTCCTTCTGGATCATTTCACGCAGCTGCTGCTCCAGGGACGTCCGCTGGTCCCGCATCTCCTGCACCTTGGCCAGGATCCGCTTCAGGTTCTGCAGCACCTGCTTGTCATCTGAGGGGACAGGCAGCGCTGAGTGGCCATGCCAGACCCCTGCCCGGTCCTGCGTGGTGTTCCCAGCCTGAGCCTGCTCATGGGACATGCTGCAGCCACCAGGAAGGAATCACAGGGGGCAGGAGCCCATCTGCGCCCTGCCCTGGCACACCCAGCACCTGACAGTAGTGGTGCTGGGCTCACTGGTGCTCGCTGAGACAGCAACCAGGTCTCTGCCACATGTGCTCTGTCACCTGTCCCCACACCAGGATCCCCAAGACTTTGCTTGCTCTATGGGGGGACAAGCCCCCACCCCAGCTTGCGACGGACCGTGCAGCAAGGCGATGCCGTGACAACTCTGCCCGAAATACAGTGGTGAGGCTACACCGGCTGCGAGCACGGCCTGCCCCACCTGCCGGCGCAGCACTGCACGCCGCGGCTCACCTTCGGTCAGCGAGGGAGAGGGCAGCGCGGCCCGGACCTGCTCCAGGGGCCCGCTGAGCAGGCGGAGGTTGCCGATGTGCAGGTTCATGGCTTTGTGCAGCTCCGTGTTGGTGAAGCTGGCCTTCTCGTGCACCTCCATGTACTTGGAGCACTCCTTGCTGACCTCAGCCAGCCCCGAGGACGGAGGGGATGCTTGCGGTGGCGGGCTCCTCCCGAGCAGCTCCTGCAGCTTCCGCTCCTTAACCTCATCCTCCTCAAGGAGGTCTCTGATCTCCTTCAGGGAGGCCTCCACGTCAGTGAAGACCCCGGAGAGCACTGGAGGCAGAGACACGGAGATGGCTTTTCTGGCAAACGGCTGAACCAGCACCTGCCACAAGCCCTTCGGGCCCAACTCGCTTGGCCCCCCCTGCTCCAACCCTGAAGCTAGGCCTTGACGCAGCAGCCCACAGTAAATCCAGTCTGCGGGCTGCCAGAGGCAGGGAGTGGAGGCAGGCAAGGATGCCAGGACCCGGGTGCCTCAAGGCCGGGCTCAGGGCCTACTTGTGCTGGGGAGATCGAGCTCTGCGTGGCTGCAGCGGTCTCCGGACAGCACCAAACCTGCTAGCTGCACCCCACGGGCAGGGCATGGGGAACGGCTCCCTCCCCTTGCTGCAGATACGCTAGCAGGGCTGGGCCAGGCATTCCCACGGCCCCCATAGGTCCCCATGCCCCTACCCTGCATGGACTGGACCAGGTTCTTGACCGTGTCCGGGCGCACACTCAGCGCGGCACACTTCTCCATCAGGATTGGGGGGATGTGGCTGTACATGTCCAGGTTGTCCACGGTCTCGGGGTCCAGCTGCATGGAGTCCATGAACTGGCTACGGGCAGGAAGAAGCCCCTGAGCAGTGGCAGAGCCTCCCCGGTGCACGAGAAGGCTCCCCAGCTCCATGCAGGGTCCCCCATCCCAAACCGCAGCCATCACGGGGCAGAGCACTGCGGCTGCTCATCACCCCGAGAGCCACCACGGCCAACAGACCGAGCAGAACCACATGGTGAATTTGGGGAAGGGTCACTGCAGCTGGGTCCCCGCTGGTGGAAAGGCCCAGCCGCTCCTCAGTCAGACCTGGGCAGCCCAGGCTTTGGACTTGTTCAGCACAAGGGCTAAGGGATGGCAGAGATCAGAGATGCCTGCGTTCCCCTCAGCGCCAGGAAAGGCTCTCGCGTTGGGGTAGCTGGACACGGGCGGGAAACCTGGCAAGGGGACAAGCAGGACAGCCCCATGCCAGGCTGCAGGAAGCATGGATCGCTGCTTCGTGTCAAGGTCTCTAGCAGGGAAGAGGACACCAGGGCCCCATTCAGGCATAGCTCACACTTACTCCAGCACTTCGTTCTTGGCTTCGATCTTTGCCATCACATCTCTCAGCAGTTTAGCCTTCTCTTCGCTACAACAGAGGAAATAAAACCCCTTAATGCTGTGAAGGTGCTTGGGAAGCCTCCACTCATGAGTTACAAGTGCCCTAAGCCCTGCAGGAAGCAGCCAAAGATTTGAAACCTCTGGGCCTGCTGCATGTGGCCTTTTGGGACAGCGAGGCCAGAGTAGCTCTCCTTCAGCTGCCAGGAGAGACACGCTGGACAGGAGCTGGACAAGAGGATGGCTAGGGGACAAACCATGGGTGGCCTGTAAGGAGCCTCTGAGCCTGGACTCACCTCAAGGGGAGCTGTTCTGTGACAAGCTCTCCGTAACTGCCTGTCTCAGCCACCCCCAGGGGTGGCAATGGGGAAGTTGGAGATCCTCAGAGGGGATGCTCTGGGAAGGTAGCAGCTCCCCAAGAAAACCTCTGGTGCTGGTTTGGCTCCCTTCAGCTCCCATTAGCCTGCAGAAGGGCTGAGCTGGGACAGGGTCTCCTTATTGAGCCTGGTGCTGGAGATCTGCTGCTCCCAGCTCCACAGGCAGCCAGCTGGGTGCTCTGCTCTAGCCAGAGCTGTGCCCTCCCGCGATGTGGCCCAGGACACACCTGTACAGCGAAGACGCCTCGTGGGCGGCCATGGGAACCAGCTTGGCAAATATATCAGGGCCGGTGACAGCTGGGTCCGTGGGGTTGACAGGGAGGGCTTTCACCAGCGGGGCACCTAGGGTTCAAACACACAACACATGGCTGTCCCAAACCTCTGCACGGGAGCTGATCTCCCCTCCGCGCCCAAGGCAGGTCCTCCTGCCCAACACCTTCACTCCCAGCAGATCCCAGGGAAGGCAGGACATCATGGCACAAGGCCTCGCTGACCCAAAGGCTCCACTGTCCATCACCGTGTGCACCTCTCCCACCAGCAACCGCAACTCTTCGGAGAGCGCGCTGCCTGGCCTCACCTTTCACGGACTGCAGGGTGTCCAAGGCAGGCACAGCTTCGTGGTAGATAAAGTCATTGTCCTTCTTGGCTGAATTGTACCTGGAAACAAGAAGTGACGCTACGTTGAGGATGCTACGGTGAGGAGCAGGCCCTGCCCCAGGCTCCCCAGCATACTCGCAACAGGGTCAGGCCCTGCCCCTCTTGGACCGGCTCCAGGGGGAGCAAAGAGCAATTCCCACAGCAGCCACGCGGCCCAAGCGCCTCGGGCAGCGGATCAGAGCCGCTCAGGGATGTTGCCATGCCAAAGCTGTTCCCTCAGCTACTGCGGCCACCCAGATATCTCTGACCTCCGAAGAGGCGGGACCACTACATCCAGGAACACCCTGTGCCCAGACTCACTTGCCACCGATTACGTCCATGGTGAATCTCAGGGCTTCCTGGACGGTTTCCGGCTGGCCCTGCAGAAGTGAGAGTTAGCGCAGGCCGGGCAATGGGTAGCGCTGCCCCAGTGGCCAACCCCAGCCCTGGTGCAGCGGTCACAGCCCAAGTCTCCTAGGTGCCAGCAGCAGCCTCGCCGACCAGCGAGGGCTCGCAGCCAGCTGGCAGCTCCCAGCACTGCACTTGGTTCCGCTTCCAAAGCTTTGACCTTCACCGGAGCAAACGGTGACACGGGGAACCCCGAGCCCCCGCTGAGGCAAGTGCTGCACCTCCTTCCCCAGCCACGGTGATGTCCCCAGAACATCGTTCCCACAATACCACACCGCTACCGCCTGAGCGCGCCTGCTGTCCCCACCACCCAGGTCAGGCTGTAACCTAGAGGCCCTGGAGCATTCACTAAGACTACAAGGAGAAAAGGCAGCACAGGATGTGCCAGCAAAGCAGCTGCAATGCAGAATGCGGAAATGGATGCTCCTGGTGCTGCTCTGAGATACCTTGGCTTGAATTCTTTCCTGTTCTCGTCCCCGTGAGCCAAACTGCACCTTCCTGGCCCCACACCAGGACCTGCACAGTGGAAGAGGTGGTCTGCCCCCATCTTTGCAGGGGAACGATGCTCTACTGGGACCTTTGAGGTCTTGCACTTCCAAGGGGAGCCCCAAGCAACAGGCAACCCACTACCCAAAGGAAGAGAGCTGAGCCCCACTGCCCTGGGGGTTGGGGCAGCCTCCTGGGAGGAGACAGATGGAAGTTTCTATCGGTTCAAGCACTGGAGAGAGTTAAACCAGGTTTTCCACAGCCCAGCAGGAGGGCTGCTGTCCCTTGGAGCTATGGGTTACAGGCAGCCCTCAGAGAATGGCATCAGAAGGAAACCACTTGAGCACTTGAGTGAGCACTTTCAGGAGAGGGCAGTGAACAGGAATACAAGTGAGAGGTACCTTCTCCAGGGCCAAGCAAGGCACCAACAGTCAGGAGGGATGGACACAAGGGACACCCTTGGGGATTAGTGCAGACTGCTCCCCAAGCAGCTCCCAGCCCACGTTATCCCAACGTCTGTATGGGAACTGAAACACTCGACTCCAGATGCTGCAGTTACAGGGCAGAAACCCAAACATCTCCAGGAGCCCCAAATCCTCTGTACCCCACAGTTTCACGTACAGACCCCATCACAGCACCGTCTTCTGCATCCAGAGCACCACAGCTCTGCGGGAAGCTCACCAGCAAGGCAGGGCTGAGCACTGCAGCCACACAGCCCTCCTGGCACTGCTCACATGCTCTCAAACAATTAAAAACCAAACCAAATCCACAAAAGCTTAAGAAAGAGGCAGTGCCTGCCTCTGAGTAGCACAGTTCAGCGGGCCCTACCTGCGGGCCCAGCTCTGCTCCTCCTGTCACACCAGCCCTTCTCCCCACAGACCCTGGGCTGGCCTCCTCTGTCCTCCCCTTTGAGAGGCTCTGCTCTCGTGGGAGCGAACTGGCTTTGCGGTCCTGCACAGACAGGAGGCAGCTCAAAACCCTGATGGTGCCAGCTCCGCTCCCAGACCAGCGGCCGAAAAGCCTCCAGTCTCGCAGCAGCAAAGCACAAGTCGCTCATGTCACTCAGTCCCCTTCATCAGTAGGGGACAGCCGTGCCTGGTGGCTGCCAGCACCAGCAGCCTCAGGGGTTTTCCCTGGGCACTGCTCCTAGAGCGGGGACGTGAAAGAACCGTGCCCAAGGAGGGCTCCCAGAGACAACAACAAACAGAGAGGTTTTAAAACCCAGTCCCCACTACCTGAAGGAACATACTTTTGCCAGTTTGATAGCTTCATTGAGTTTATCCAGGGCACTCTGGAAGTAGATGACCTGCAGAGAGAGCAGAAATTAGGTCAAAATTCCTTAGGGATGCGGGAGCTGGCACGAAAGCAGGTGCCTTTGCTTCGTGCAGAAACACTCCTGAGGGCTGCAGCTCTGTTCAGTATGACAGGGCCTTCTGAGGTGGCCCAAGCAAATGGCACTTCCAAGCAAGCCCCGCTGAGGGACTGGCCTTTGGGATAGACAAGGACTTGGAGAAAGGGACTGGGCAAGTGCTAACAGAGTTGCTTTGAAGCGACCAGACATCGGTGCTGCAGCTCAGCCCTGACCCTGCGACGGGCAGCCCTGGGTGAGCCCAGAAGCTTCATTCTCCTGTGGGAGCTGCATGGGAAATGGCAGCCCGGCAACAGGGTGCTCCCCGACTGCGAGGGCTGGTAACTAGCAGGTACCGATTTCCTATCCCCACCAGGGCCAGCGCCAAACTGCTGCCAGTTCAGGAGAAACGTGCACCTGTTGGCTGTCTGCACACACAGCCCCGTGCACCAGAGGCACTGTGCACTATCCATACACGCTCCCAAGAGGCAGGGCATGGCTAATGACACAGTCTTAAATGTGCTTCCAGGACCTAGGACACCCAAGGTCGCGAACATGATGATCTCTCCCAGGACTCAACCCTCCTGGGGCAGGACCTCAGTCCAGAGCCCAGACTAGACTGGATGAGCTGACACGGCTCTGCTTACCCTTTCCCCAAACTTCTGCTGCTCCTCGGCCTGTTTTCCCATGTGTAACTGCAACAAAACACGCATTGGCAACGTCAGAACTTCTTATCTAGAGGGAGATCTTTTGAAAAGGCAGTTAAACCTCACAGAACAGCCAGAGCCCATTCGTCAGCCGTATTTTGGTGAGCACCACCCTGTGGCAGGGGTGAGCAGCCCGAGCTGTCGGCCAGGTGGGAGCCAAGGGCGGGTCACAGCCAAGCAGCGCCCCAACGCACAGCCTGCTCTTCCCACTTACGTGGGCCACAGCAGCAAAATAGTAGATCTTCATCTGAACCAATTTCTTCCAGTCTTTCTGGATCTTTCCCAGCAGCGAGGCAGTCTCCGAGTTTTCCAAAGCCCGGCAGGCCTCTTTGTAGTAATCCACAACCTACAGACAGAAACATGGAGGAATTGCCAGGGGTGCCTGGTGTTTGGAAACCCTAGATAAAGTCTGATTCCAGTTCAAATCGAGAGCAGCAAGGGAAAGGAAGATCCACTGGCAACAGTATTTGTGTCCAAGGCTTCGGGTCATCCAGCTAATGTAAAACTATCGCACTACTACTGATGAATTTTTGGTCAGAGCCAGGGAGCTCTTACATTGCTGTGCTGAACTTGCCCCACACGGTAGGCTTAAAACGTGTTCTTCAAGGAAATTCAAAAGCTGGAGCAAACCCAAAGCACAGGCGACGTAAGGAGGATCTCAGGCAGGCAGAGCTTCAGGACTGCTATTAGTGCAGTCCCTTGGGAGGGCTGAGCTGGAGGACCTCATTTGAACTAGACCATGAACAAACACTCAACTGTCTTTACAACACTGTCCTTTCAGGAGTTGGTGGTTGCGTTCACAGTGTGAGGAGATGGGAGCACCCCCATACTGCCGTTTAACTGGGCTGACAAAGAGCAGCACTGCTGCTGTGCAGGGTTTGCACCCCCTGCCAAGTTCCTGATCCCAGATGTCCCTCCCATACACAGCAGGAGCGGGCTCTTTTGGTAACGGCAAGTACTCACACAGAAAGAGCGAGAGCTTGGTGCAGCAGAGATTATCCAGTGGCTCACCTGGGCACTGATCCGGGCCACGAGGAAACTCTTCCTGTTGTCCAGCATGGACTTCTCCAGGAGACACTCTTGTGCCTGGCCCTACCAGAGACGGAGGGAAATTCTTAGCTTCCCCCACATCCACTTTCCTTGGGAAACCCTTCCATACCCAGCCCAGGCCTTGACCTCTGGCAGCCTGCCAGCTACTGCCCCTTTCTTGAGAAGCCAGCAGGGCTTGGGAAGGAGCCACTGTCCCGTGCCTACAGCAGCCTGGACTCCAGTAGACAACAGCCAACATGTGACATCAGGGCCAGATACCCCCTGCTCCATCCCCAGCTTGGACAGGCAGTGCAGCTCCCGAGAACAGGCACAGCTATACGAAGGCAGTTTTCAACTGCAGGGCACCCTCTCAGAAGCAGCAAAACCAGGAAAGGAACATTTAAAGGAAATGACTCTCATTTGGTACTTCCGACTCCTGCCCAAGCCTCCTCCTCAGGAACGGCCACACTTCACTCCCCCAATCCAGGCTCCTTTGCCTGCCCTTGCAGGCCTACAAAGCATCATGTCCAGCTCCAAGGAGATGGACTCAAACTTCAGTCAGTGAGGAACACCGAATCTGATATACATCTCCTCTCCCATTTGGGCATCAGCTGTCCCAGAGGTATGCGAGGAGCCACCCCGGCATGACCAGTGCCCCAGCAGAGACAGAGCCCACTCCCTACCAGCATGAGGTTGATGTTGAGGTTGAGGATCTGGTGACTCATGTCTACGCTGTAGGAGTGGGGGAAGTGATCCCGCAAGTACGTAAAAGCCCCAGCAGCACACTGGAAGTGGGTGCACGAAACCTTCATGCCCTGAGTGGACAGGAGAACACGTGTTAGGCATGCGCGGGCCTCCTGCACGCAAGCCAAGCAGTAGGCACACGCCCACTGCTGCCAAAAGCTTGGAAGTGAGTCCTGGGGGCTCTCAGGGTTGCTTTGAACCTAGAAAGCTCTGAATAGCTTGGTGCTTTCCCCTAGGCTGTGCAAACCTGAAGCTGTGGTCAGACACTCCCCCTTTTTCAGGGGCTGCAGCACCTGAATGCTGAGTCGGATCTCTCCCTTCCCGGCCTTAAGCGCTGAGGGTAGGAAGAAGTTCAGCCTGGCCAGCAAGCCAAGCAGACCCTAGCTGATGCCGGGACAGCAATGACTGGGCAGGGGTGACACAGCTGGGACACTATCATGAGGGGGACACTATCGTGACATTATACATCAATACTTAGCCAGAGCAGACATCCAGAGCTGGTCTCTGACAGAGATGCTTGTAACTACCCACGTTACAGAGAAGAAACCCTTAGCGCTATCAGCTTATGGCTATTAACCGTATGAGAGAGAAAAGTCATCCAGGGAAGACCCGAAAGGCATTTTGGGCTCGTTACCTCCTCAGACACTCTCTTGTCCATGGCACCCAGCATGGAGTGCAGCGCACCTGCGGAAACAGGGACACAGCTGAGCAGGGCGATCACACCCTGCCAGCCTCCACCCACCGCTCTCGGACCAGCCCAAGGCAGTGTTGAAGCCCCTCTGCCAGTCGGTGGCTCCTATGACCCAGGCTGGACATCTTGTACAGGCAGAGCCTAAATCACTTCAGACCTGCAGAGACACCAACTGTTTCCCAGCGAGGGGCAGGCGCTGTGGGATGGGGCTGCAGCGATGCAGGCCACTGGTTTAATGGGTGTGTTTCTACCAACTTGAGGGAGTACCCATCTCTCAGAAGGGGCCCTGGCACTGTGTTACCTCACGCCACCTTTAGCTGCCCCTTATATAGCCCTGCAGTGTGCAGGGTTTAAGTTAACCCACTTTGCTCTGTGCATTGTCGAGTGGGAGAGCGGAGCTGGCTCCTGAGCTGCAACGAAAGGGGCAGCTTCAGTCCCAGAGATGGAGATGTCTTCTGCATGGGGGGACTGAGCGCGGCCTCGCTTTGGGGCCTACCAAAAAACCCCGCTCTGAGGTGTGACTGTCAGAGGCTGCAGAGCGCTAGGGCACAAGCGTTACGTTTGCTGTTCTCACACCCGCCACAGATGCTTGGGCGGACAGGATGCTGGGCGAGAGGGACACAGCCTGACCCAGGCTGTCACCACGCTAGAAAGCACATTGCCAGCGCTGTGGCTCCCACTCAGTCTCCTCAGTGGGACGTCTCCTTGCAATGCCTGTCCCTGAACAAGACACACGGCAGCGCACAAGCAGGGCTCTCAGGGACCAGGAGGAACGGCTTTCTGACAAGAGCCAAAGCCAAACTCTCATGCCACTCTCGCACTGAGTGCCCAGTCTTGCAGGCAGTGCAGAAGAGGGGAGGACGCGCATCCAGGCTGAACCACGGGGCTGCTGGTGGGATGAGGCAGGCAGTGCTTCTGCCTGGCTGCCCCAGAGGGATCGCATGGGACTACAGGCCAGGCAGAGATGAGGGTTTTCCTCGTGCCAAGCCACACACAGACCAACAGGGCAGCTGGTCACCCAGGACCTTACCCAGGTTGTAGAGGATGCACGCCTGCTCATACTTGATGTCCTCATGAGTCACCGTCTTGCCCGAAAAGATCTCTGTCCTTTAAGGAGAGAAGACTGGTTACCAGCTACGCATGGAGTTAGCGGCGTTCTCGCACATGGACTATGTGCCAGGGAAAGGGTGTTTTGGGAGAGGTTCAGAGAAAGGCAACAGGGCCAGACCGCTCAGAGTTATTGCGGGAGAAGTGCACACCACAGCTGTATGTGCCCAGTCCTCACTTAGGAGTCCCTTCAGCAAGGCAGGATTTGCCATGGAAGGCTTAGGCTTGAGGTGAGTCTCTTAAAAGCCTCCTTAGCAGTCAGGATTTCTCCCTCCAGCCAGGCATTGCCCTGTGCGGACCTGGTAGGACCATGCATCTCCATGTGGCAGGCTTCGTACAGGCTTTGTGCACACACACAAAACCGCTTTTACACACACCCAAGCAACTCTGCCATGTGGTGGGATCGCAGCACTGTCACCTTGCATGGTGACACTGTCCCAGCTCTGCCGTGCATTGCTGCACAGCCAGCCGCTGCCTCGTGTTGCCTTAGGGCTCAGCTTAGACTTCCCGTCCCAACGCCGGAGCGGGACGCTGCTTCCCTAAGGGGTCCCACTACCAGGACACCCTTGTGCCAGCTAGCCAGCTGCACTTCAGCAGCAGGGAAATCTGCCACTGGCTAAAAAGTGCAATAAAAAAAACCCACACACACAAAATAGTTATTATACTGCCCTCGAATGGCTTCCTGGAAGACAGTCTCCCTGCCAATCTCCAGTCTCAAGGGGCCACAGACCTGGCCACTCTTGTACATGCTGTCATGGACACGTGGGGCCTTGTGCCCAACAGAGTTAGCTCTCCCCAGATGGGTTTTGAAACAGGTTAGGGGAAAGGTGTGGAGCAGGGACAGAACGTATCAGCTCCCGGGAAGGACGTGGGAGGTGAAGTGGGAGGAGTCGTTCCGGATTGGGCCAGCTTCCTCACTTCAGCAGCAGGCCGAGGATGGGGGAGCTCTGACAGCTGGGGGCACGGAGCAGTTTCCCAGTGGGAAGGGGAGGATGGAGAAGGCAGCAGGACCAAGCTGCAGTCCAGGGCAGAGCAGCTATTGGGACGTGAACAGGCAGGTAAATCAGGGCACAGGGACGAGGTATCTGCCCCAGCCCCCCCGCAAGACACCATGGCCAGCGGGCAAGAAGCAGGCTGGCCCACCAGGCCACCTCCTAGGGGAGGCAGAGGAAGGCAAGAGTGAGGCATGACTCCCAGAGGACCTGCGGCAGGCATGCAGAAGAGAGCGAAGAGGCCCCTTCCCCGCTGAGCCCTGGCAAAGCGGCGCACCGCTGTCCTCACCATGCGATGGGAACGGCGGCCTCCTGCTCGGCGCCCATGGGGATCCGGCTCTGCAGGTAATGGAGCTGGCCAAAGTACTTCCTCAGCGTGCTGCAGCCCTCGAAGTCCCTGGGCACGTTCACGGCGCTCTGGGGGAGCGAGAGAGGAACAGGCAACCCCAGGGACAGGACTGGCTCTCCCAGGTGACACACCAGGCCAGAAAGTGCAGGGCCCAGTGCTCAGCTGGTCTGCAGCGAGGGCTCCAGGCAGGAGCAGGTGCCTCCTCGGAGGCTACCACTGCCTCTGCCTCTCCTGGGGCCCCAAGCAAGGACAACTCCACTCTGAACGCTGCCACAAGGACCGGACTGAGTGAGCCGTTCTGGGCATGCCAGTGGGGGCTGCAGAGCTGCCTGCAAAGCGAGGGGAGAGGGGCAGGATGTCAAGAGCGTGTGGGGCTCACAGTCGGTATCCGCACCATGCCAGCTGGTGAGGCCCCAACTTGAGGAGCTTCGTGGACACCAGCCAGGGGACGGACAGCGTAACTCATGCTGGAGGGAAGATCCAGACCGCACACGCGCCTGCTAGGTGCCGCAAACGTGACCATGTATAGACAGCTCAATGGTGGATGCCGTTCCACATACTGTCATAACCAGCCCCTCCTCCAGAGGCCAGGCTGGGTGAAGGAGGGGGCAGAGACTAATAAGGTAGATTATACCATTTTGGTATACCATTAAGGTTATACCATTATACCAATCAATGGCACAACCTCCCCGGGCTAGGGTAGCCTGGCCAGTCACAGCTCCAAACAACTCTGCAGGACAGAAGATGGCCCTGGCCTTAGGGAAAGCATCCCCGCAAGGCACCTAGAAAGACAGGTCTGTTTCCCTAAAAAAATAAGGGAGAGGGGAGCAACATGATGGTTCCAGAGTAGCCGATTCACAGAATCACAGAATCGTTTAGGTTGGAAGGGACCTCTGGAGATCATCTAGTCCAACCTCCCTGCTCAAGCAGGGTCACCTAGAGCATATTGCCCAGGATCACATCCAGACGGTGGGATTCGAGGAGGAAGAGCCTCGGCTCTCCTCATTAAATGGCTTCTAAGGACGAAATAACGAACAGGAAGAATTTGGGAGTGACTGAAAAGGGATGTCTCCTACACATCATCAGGCTACAAGACCTGCCACTGCAGCAAGGCTGTGGTGGGAGAAGGAAGGACAGAGCAGGACACCCAGGAAAGGTTTCTTAGGCTCTAGCTTCCATGTCAAACCAAGTCCCCCGATCCCAGGGTGAGGGTGTTCAACCAGCCCATCTTTGTGGCTGCTGAAAGAACCTCGCCGCATTTCAGGGATGCGGGAGAGACCCTGCAGCTGCCCACGCTGTGAGATGACACAGGAGCCAGTCTCATGAACTATCCCAGGTCTAACCTGCACACGATGCTTACAGGGGCACTATAAAACCTACAAGGCTGCACAAACTGGCACCAGTTCCAGTTCTGGGCGAGCCGCTAGCCCTCTCCAGTCATTTTTGCCACTGGAATTTCTCAGCTGCCAGCTCTCCTGGACAGGGACTGCATCTCTGACCAGATAAAGCCCAGCTCAACAGCTCCCAGATGGACGACCCAGTGACTAATGCTAATATTAGGACCCAGGACCTGATAACGAAGGGCAGATTCATTCGCCATGAAGACCTCAGGCACTAGCCCAACTGGACCACATGGTTCCTTCCATCTAATGGGGGACTCGTATTCAAGGGAAAATAAACCACATTCAAGGAAGCAGATGCAGTAAGGGATTTCTGGGAGAAAGCTCCCATTGCTGCCAGTCCACAGGCCTATCGGGATGGAGATGGATCGTAGTCTTCCCAGCCCTGCCTCAGTGCTGTGGGTACTTCTCACTGTCACCTCTTCCTCGTAGAGGTTCATCGGTGCTGCGGCTGAGAGGGCTCGTGGTACAGAGGAGCCCTAACACCCAACTGCTGCACACACACCTTCAGAAACCTAAATCAGCTCTGGGAATCCAGGGGACAGCCCGTCCTCAGGCCACTGGTGGGATGCTGAGGAACGGGAGCGTGCTCTGGCACGGCTCTCAACAAAGGGAGGTGCTGGGAGCCAGCAGACGTGTCCGCAGCACCAGAGAGCACCCACTCCCCCCTGAACTGCTCCAGTCCAGCATGAAGCAGGCCATCAGCAGCTCCCCTGGTTCACACGTCTCAGATCTCGCTCGGACTGTAAGCGATTTGGGACAGAGCCCACCACAGCGAGCACAGGCACAGGGCCCTGTGCAGGCAGTGCCACCCTTACCTGCCGGAGCACCTCCAGCTTCCGCAGCTCCTCGTTGTAGTTCTCCGGGTTCTCCCCATAGTTCTTCAGGACAAACTGGAGCGGGAGAGAATGGTGAGAGCCTGGCACCATCCAACAGCATTAACAAGAGCTGCCTTCCCAGCCCCAAACCAAAGCCACAACCAGAGGCTCTCCAGGAAGGCCCAGAAGAAGTCCCTATGGCAGGTCTGGCAGGTGCTTTCCCACATACGTGTCTAGGCTGGCAGAGACAAGCTGCCTGGGGTGACACTTGCCACTCCACGCCAGCTCCTCCAGTTCTTCCTGCCCTGGCAGGAGCAGGGAAGCCACAAGGGTCCCTGAGGCTCAAAGCTGTTTTTTAGAAGAAAGTCGCTATGGGCCCCGGCTCCGTCCGAGCTGGGCGGACAGCCGAGGACAGCGTTAAGGAGCCGGACAGCAAGGCTGGCTCAGAGTGGAGAAGGCACTTTTCAGAGAGAGAGAGAGCGAGAGAGAGAGCGCGCACATGAGCCTGTAATGGGACACTCTGTGCAGGACGCAACACACCGTCCTACAAGATGCTAGGCGAGGAGGCGAAGCTACAGCCTACGCGGGAACCAAAGCCTCTCTGGGAGAGGATGAGGAGAGAGGGGCTTCCAAGAGGAAGGAGCAGCTGAACAGCTTGCACCAAACAAGCTGCCTGGCAAGCAAGGCGCTGGCACAACCAGCGCTCCGGGCACCTCTCGAGCCAGTCGTCGGGAAGATAAGCAAGTGCCTGGTGTTTGGGGACATCCAAAACCCAAAGAGACTGAGCTGACATGCCCAAAGCCAAGCAAGCCATAATGGAGGCATGAAGAGAGCACAGCTCCCCAGCCACAAGCGCAGGACGGCTACCGTGACCGACTGCACTGAAGGATCACGCGTTTCGTGACGAAGGGAACGCGTCCAAACCAGCCTCCGTTTGCCATGGCTCACACAAGCCTCATTCCCCTGTGCTAACAGTGCCGGGCAAAAACCAGAGCAGCCCCATCGCACCCAAGCCCACCCCGAGGGCAGTGCCAGAGTCCAGCCCCGTCACTGCTCTGCGGAGACCACAAGTCCATAAACTCTACATAAACCCTGCCCTGGCTGCGCAGCAGGGCCACGGACACTGGGAAAGAAACGCACACCGTGTGACAGCAGTTCTCAAAGGAAGGGGATCACAAGCAAAATCCAAGCGTTAAACGCACCAGCGCTTCCAGCAGGGAGCCAGGACCTCTCCAAAGGTTATGTCTGGAATCAAACAACGTCTACTAAAAGGTAAAGTTTGTGCGAGGAGGCTTCTGCTACCCAGGCTGGAGGACAGAGAAGGCCCTCAGCAGAGGTCAGCACCTCCAAACGGCATGGTTCAGGGTTTGGACCAGAAGCAGAGCTACCACCTCACACACACACAGGACAAGGTAGGATCTGACACGGAAATCGGCACTCGCTTGGAAGCGTGTTGGTGCAAGGGACTGGCCGTAGCAAGACCATGGGGTTCACATCTCTCACGGCAGCAGTGAAGAAAGATGCCCTGAGCGAAGAGCAGCAGCCTTCCCCCAACCCAGCCCTCTGCCATGCTGCTTGAAGCCTCTTGGAAAAGCAAAACTGAAACCCAGGGGGAGAGGTACCCATCCGTCAGGGCTAGGAGCTGATAGGGGCTTCAGAGCTGTAGTGGAAACGCTCGCTTGCTCAAATAAAGAAAACCTGCCGCAGCCGTAAGGTCCTGAAAAGCCACTAGCAAACAGGATAGACCTAATTTGAGGCTAGACCAAGAGAAGTTATTCTGGATTCATGTCTTATACCCATCTGTGCTTGGCTTGCTTGGATTAAAGAAGGCCCATTGCTGATCACCAAAGGGTGGATATCAAGTTGGCAGCTAGCCAGAAATAAGGCTTATCATGCTGAGGCATAAAAGGAAAGGAAAATGAAAGGGGGTAGCATGTGCCTACTTGTAAAAGCACAGGGCTTAGGGCCCCCCAGGGAACGTTACGGTGGAGCTGGAGCCAGGGCTAGGACAAAACACTCATTACAAAAGAAAACTGCACCAGCATCTCCGAGAAAAGTGCTCAGCTCCACAGGGTAATGAGTTATGTCTCCCCACTGCCAGGCGAGGCAGGAGTTATCCCCAAAGTCTTCCGCGATTCAGCGGGGCAGCCGGTCCCAGAGCTCGCAGCTGAAGCCCAGTGTGGCTTCAAGCAGATCGTGTTTCCTGGCCGGATGAGGAAAGCTTCTTTCGTCCCTACACAAACTGTGGGCACAGAGCTCCCCAAGCCTGTCTCTAACAAGACTTCTGTCAGCCCTGGATAAAGACGTTTTCGATGAGCTTAGTGCTTCCGGACGGAAGACAGCTCATGCCGCTTTACCCTCCAGCAGTGTTGCCCAAACCTTCCGAGAGCCTGAGCAGAAATTTATCCCACCTTCCTGGCTCTACCAGCAAAGGGGGAAGACTCAGAAACCTGCAGCCCAGCTTTGCCCCACATCGGACAGACACCAAAGCTTTGATTTGCTCCCAGTGACTGTCACATTAAGGAAATTCAGGCATACATGAAGGACCAGGAGCATCCTGCTCGAGATTAACACAGTTCAGGGCTCGAGAAGAGAGGAAACTTTTCTCTCCTCCCTCACCGTTTCTGCCCTCACCTTGGTGAGCACAAGAGCCAGCACGGCAGATTTAGATTCGCCATCACTTTAGTTCTCACAAACCAGCAGCACAGAGTGATGTCTAGGCCGTAAACCCAGCACAAAAGTATTTGGATCAAACAGCGGCATGGAAGCCTCTGTTGTTTAAAACAGATTTAAACCTGCTGCCGTGCAAAAAGAATCCCTTAAATAAAGCACAGTTCAAAGTGACTCCCTGGACCTATACGTCACCCTCTCCTCCTTATCGGCTCCCCCACACCCGGTGGCCCTGGGTGCCCGCGAGGGCCCGCCGCCGGTTTGCCCGGCTTTCCTGAGCAAACAGGAACAGCAAGCCCTGGGCCTCGCTGCCGGCTGCTGCATCTTGTCCCCGCCCGCGAGGCCTG